GAAAGAAATTAGTTTGTTCAAGAATTTCAAGTATCGGATTAGTCCCATCGCTACACTGTTAAGGTAAGGCCAGGCGCACGCCCATCTAAACGTCCAATCACCAAGCGCAACGTCATCTCGTACGATGTAACGGAGAGACTCACCCACGTGGTAAGCATCGTGTTATTTTAGTATCGCATCGCGAGAAAACCTACCGATTACGTTCTTGTTCTCAAACGATCATTCTAGAATCTCGTGACTGTAATTTTTTTACAATCGTGACACGATGATTTTTTTTATTTTTTAGAAATTTTTTTCCATATCAATTTCATTTCATTCATCAAAAATATTTCATTCAAAATTAATATTAATGAATAACACTGCAATTGCGCATAGCAATGTATGACGTGGTTAATTTTCAAACATATTGCAACTGAATCTAGCATTTCGTCTAATTGATCAATTAACATAATTAAAAAAAAAAATAAAATTATATCTTAGTTCCAACAATATTTTTCTCTTTTTATATTTTTCATTAATTATGATATTTTTAATGAAGAAATTCGATATGACGAAAATATCGATGAATGAAATATGTTGCTATCGTTAATATGAATAATAATAATTTAAAATTAAAACTGTAAATTGAACTATTTATGCGGTTAATAAATTGTACGTCAGATAAATTTGAATGAATAAAATGGACACAATGGATTGCGTAGGTCAGTTAATCATTTAGATATCGAGACACTGTGAATAATTTTAGAATTTATGTAAGAATTTATAAAAAATAACAATTTTCATGACATATCACAGACGGCTATTAAAAATTACAACCACAAAACACATTGAAAATATAGAACGAAAATATCTAAAGATAGAACATTCACGCGACCTTTAATGCACTCTTCTAGTATTTCAAATTAACGTATTTGAAAATTAAAGTGTAACTTCATTCCCTTTGATACGATGAAAATTGCGCCAACATCACTTTTAATGTGCCACGCTACGTTAGCCGTTAAGGAACATAAAATTTTTCAAATACAAATACACATATCTTTCCTTGAAATGTCACATTCAACAAATCGAGTTTGTCTGATTCAAACTTTGTTGACTGAATATCAGATAACTTTGACATCCTCGAGAACACGCAAAAAGTTCAACGGGATGAAAAATAGGTAAAAGATACATAAATAGACATATAATAATTACTCACGTGAATAAAATGTAGTAACAATCAGGGCTAGCCAGGACAGTTGTTTCTCCATAACTTTTCTCATTTTTAAACTATCTTGATGACAACAATGTTTCACAAATTTAATCTTTTAGATTCACTAGCGATGTGTAGAAAAATTTAAAAGACTTTTCGCACACCGATAAATGTTATCAAAGCTTCAACATACGTCGCTTTGGAACTTTATTTTCTTGAAAAGAACGCGCCACACGCACGTTTAATTTCTCTAGCACAGTAAACGTTATTCTCAACTCACGAAGACTGAGTTCACAAAGATCATATAACAAATACGATCCGTACCTCGCAACCGGCTGTGCACGACTAACTCATGGAAACGCATTTTGGCGGCATAAAGCTTTGAAGGCATGCCAAGTGCGCATGCGCGGATCGCTCACGCCACCAGACTTGGTGGGGTATTGAAACTTCTTTCTCTTTCACTATGACTCTCCGATATTTTCTCCGTTACGCTGTTTTGTCAAAGTATGCTGATGTCGATATCATTACAGCTTTCGTTTCGAGCAAGATCATTAATTGAAAACCTTCCCGGCACGACGACGGAATAAGACCTTGTATTATCACGAGGAATTTAATTAAGAACGTGCTTTCATTGTTGATAGACAATAATAACGGATAATTAGCGAATTTAGGTGGAATACTTACACAATCTAATTACAAATGCAATCTCTGATCCTGATGATATGATCTTTTGCATTTCGTGAAATGTTACAATGACAAGCATTGATTTCAATGAAGTTTTAATTATGTTTAAATTTTTTTAATTGAAAATAATAGTTCGGTTATAATGTTCCATAATTCCAATTATGAATCTCCTTAGAAAATTATCTAAAAATTAATTACCAATTTTTTATATATTTAAAGTTAAATAATTTCATTTAAAATGAATATATTTTATCAAAATATAAATAAAGAAAAATATACTAAGAGTGAAATAGAATATTAACAATAAACATATTTATTCTATTAAAAAATCAAAAAGAAAAAAATTCATTAAAAGTTTTGAATAAATCTTAAACTATTAGAAAATAAAATTTCTTTAAAAAGAAATAAAAAGAAACATTTTTAATTAAATAAAAATAATATTTTTTAAATATCAAAGTAGTATTTTGCTTCATAGATACAATTTTATAATCTTAATTTTCTTATTGTTATATAAATATTAGATCAAATTAAATTTTTATTAGATGTTATCTATCTTATATATTAGACACATTTATCATATTTCTTGTATATTATTGTTTTTTATTTATTCAATGATATTTTTTTGTACAAAAATTGTCATTATGAAATATATTTGCAAATTGATAATGTATTATTTTTCATTTTGCAATGCTCGGATAATAAATTAACAGATTTTTTATTTTTAATATATAATAAATAATTAATTTTTTTAATATCTATATACTTTATTGCAATATTATATGTAATATACTTTTATATTAATATTTTACGCCAATTTCTCATTTGAATATTACAAAATAAAATAAAAAAAAAAAAATACATTTTTAATTTGTAAAAATTTCGACATATTACAAATTTATATTATCAAACTAATGAATTTTTTTATTGTTTTTTTGCTGCAATAAATTGGAGCTAAAAAATAAAAAGATATAAAACGTATTAAGAAAAAATAAATTTGTCTAAAATAGAAGTAAAAACTATTATTAAACATTATTAAAAATTATTCATTATTAACAAAATAATTTTTAATATAATATAAAAGTTATAGAAAAAAATATGTAATGAAATACAATATTTAAGTTTTATAAAAAAATTACAATTTCATTTCTCTTAATTTAAATTTGTAATTGTATTAAATATTCGAATATTTTATTGATATTATGCATATTATAAAATTATATGCATTAAAATATATAAAATTTATGTTTCTATTAATTGCAATGACTACCTTAATGTATTAAAGGATAATCAATTCAATTAAATTTTAATAAACAAATACGCATGTAATTATCTTTTAGAAACCATCAGAATATTAGTTTGAATCACCGTGCATATAGATGCACATTTGAAATTTGTTCTCGTCGTTACCGTTAATGGTACTGACATCATATTGTTATATCACAATAAGGAAGAAATTTGACTTGAGAGAAACAATCTTCGAATCTTTTACAATGTTTCATTCTTCTTGGTTCTCTTCTACAATATAGAAGAAGCTTGTTATACAAGTAAAAAATATTTTTATTTACCACGAATAATGTCAATTCAACATATTTTATATTATTGGCAAAACTTTTAGAGAAAAAAAAAAAAAAATAGTGAAAGTTTGATTTATCTTTTGGTATCTGAAATTGTCGACAGAATACTATGATAAAAGGAAAAGTGTGACTTTTTATTTGTGAATTTTTTCGAAATTCCAGAAGAAATTTTTTGAAATTTTGAAATTTTTGAATTGACAGACTATCCGTACAGAGAGAAAATCAATTTTAAATGGGTGACAGGTACTAGTATTGTCGGTAGAACGTTTTGTAACGAGAGTCGTTTGGGAGAAATTCTAACTGAATTCCAACTGAATTAAAGCAGTTATTATACTGCATATGAGGTGTGAATGGTCTGAATATTCAAGTACAGTTGCAATTATAGTAATTAGAGTTTGTAAGATTGTTCAAAAACATTCTGTTTCGAGAGATACTTGTAATGTTTAAGGCTATTTGCGTCGCGGATAAATTCCATTACAATTAAAAAAGAAAAAATCTTACGTATGTTTTGATTATTTAAAATTTTAAAGGTAAGAATTTTAGAAATCAAAAATTAGAAGAACTTCAAGTTGTGAGTTATCTTCGTTTGAGAGAAAATACGCATGATATAATCGGCTTGTAGTATGATTTTAATTCTGGAAACGATTTTTATGATAAGTAAGATAATATTTCGAATTTAAAAAAAAAAATCGAAATCTTCATAATGTTTCGTTTTATATAAACAATTATTATTAATTATTTATTTATATAGTTGAAAATATAATATTCCTCAACAATTTTAATAATTTTGAAATATATCATTAAAATTATCATTTTAAATATTATTCTGAAATTTCTGTTCCAAATAATTGCTATATTTCTTTGTGTATCGTATTTTTTAATTATTTACGTTATAATTGTTGTATATATTACATATATATTTCTTGTTATTTACAAAAATGATTGATCATTCAAAATTTCTTTGATTTGGTATATAACTTTGTTAAAGCATTCAATTAATTAATCAATTTTTCAATTTCCTACTTCTAGTTTTAAAAATCGAAGTTTATCAGATTGTTTCTTTATTCTTTTCTTGTTATTTCTTTATTTTTTGTTGTTTGATATGAATACATAAAAATTTATTTTGAATAATTGGTCTTTTATCGATTGTTATTTATCGATTGATATTATTTGATCATTTGTAAATTGCTATAATTTTTCTATTAATTTTTTCATTGAATTAATCCATGATGATTCACATGAGAGATTAAAGAATATGGAGATATGATCTCTATATAATATTGAATGTGTTCCTTAATGTTGAATCGTTCCTTCGAATAAATTTAATGTATTCTTTCGAGAAACTCGTTCAATTTAAAATGATAATGTATATCTTGGTTCAAATCAATATATATAATTCGCATGATATTGCTCGTGAAATTTATTTCTTGGTCAGTTAGAATAATTTTAATAGTATCACATTTGAAAATTCAAAGTTGCTATTATATTGTATTGATACTTTGTTTCTTCAAAGATTATTATATCTTATTTGATAAATTATATCATTAAAATCTAATCCTCTAAGTCTTCTGGATTTAATGAATCAACAATCTATCGCAATATTATTACGTTGGATTCAAGAAAGGCTTATGAAATAAATAATTGTGAGTGAAATAATTAAATTCTACGTTCTTTTTTTATTATTTTGACCAACAAATGTTGACCTAATTTTCTGATATAGAAACTGATATATATAAATTATTAAGACCAATCAAATAATATGGAATCGTTTATTTCCTATTTATTTTATTTTTTCAATATATTAAGTCAAAATTCATTGAATTCGTGTCTACCATTTCTATAATTTCTGTCTTTTCTGCATCATTTTCGAATGATTCTTAGATTTCTGAATCTAATAAATTCTAGAAAAATGAAGGATTTCTAATGTATTATATTAAATGCTTTAGTTCAATAATTGTTTCAAAAATTATGAATAAATTACTTAATAATGTATACTTTAAAGTGATTATATTACTAAGTGATTATATTAATTTGATTATTGTGACTGCATAATTTAATTGAAAAGTTTTTTGTTGAAAGTGTGTGCCTTTTATTCTTCAAATTAGAGCGAGCAATCGTCATTTATAACCTTGAAACTTATCCTGATAGCATTCGATGACGAAAACAACGAACTTCCGTAGTGCTTTCTTTTCTTTATTAATAGTCGTAGAAAATTACATGCCACTCCTCTTACATAACTGTCGAGATTTTACGATGCAAGGATATTGGTGGTCAGTTAAAATCTCGAAATGACGTTTGTATAAGTAAAGTCTGAAATGCTTAATCTTACAAACAATAATTAAAGTTTCTTTGTCCTTAATTGAATTTCGCAGATATTTGAATTTCTATTGGGGTAGCTGACAAATCTCTCAAAACCTTTGTCACCTTTTCGAACAGGTATCTTCGATTCCTGTACCAATAATGTTTACTGTTAATACAAATTTTTAAATAAATTTCCGCATATATTAATTTTTAACGGTTCATTCTTCAATTATTAGAAGCTCTTCGCTTAGTTAGTTTTCATGTGAATTTGATATTTTTTTCTTTTTTAAATTTTTTAAGAAACATTTAATAATCAGTCTTGAAAATTCTTTGATATTTTTTTTTACGTTTTTGAGTGTGAAATATCCGACACAAATCTCGCAAACTGTCAAAATTTGGTTTATCTTATGGATAATAATAAATATTTCAATTCGTTCGATAAAAATTGATTCTTACCGATTGAAGTTTAAATCTAATTTCTCGAAATTATCATTAAAATAAAATCTTCGATTTATTGCAATACTCTTCAGGCATTCCTTTCCAAATTATAATATTTTCGAAATAAATCAATCAGATTTTATCAACAAGACCTTGCAATGCATAATTTATCGTTTTCTCAAATGCTGCAGACGCATTCTTTAAATTGAACCATACACGTATTTGAAAAGATTATTTTGCTTTGTCTCTCAAATCCATAGAAATCTAATGAAAACCATTAACCACATTCAAAAATTAGCTTGTTGCATTATCATTAAACTTGTCCAACTTTGGCCTATCTACAATGTTAGATAAAAGGTAAGTAACGTATAAGTAGT